ACTGAAAAGTAATAAAACTTACTTAATACATAATCATTTAAAATGTTTTGTTATGATGCATTTCTTGTACTAAAACAGCTATTCAAAAATTGTCTCAAATATAATATATTTAACGTTAAATATAGTTCTAAATTGATCTGTTTGTTTAATGAATACTAACTTCATGGCATACCATTGCCAGGGGTTATTATCATCCATAAATTCCTTTATATTATAATAACCCTTTTTATACAAATGTTGTTTAATAAAGTTTTTGAACTTTGAACAGGTCAAATTTTGTATATTCAACAAGGGTCCGTTCACTCCGCAACTTTCTTCATATACAGCAGGCATATTATCTATGACTTATGACTAGCATATATGTTGTGGAGAGATATCAGCTGAGTGCTCAGGCTAATAGGGATGACGTTCAGTCTAAAAGAGACGCTGTGGTTGAGCATGTGAATCTCTCACAGCAGTCTATCTCCGAATGAGGCAATATCAATCTAGTTGTGAGATTAAACGTCTCCATAACAATTATCACCGCACCGCAATAACCTACCTGAGCTTCTTCTGCCTTGTTCTGTACCATTAGAATATACTGAGCGCCTTCAATTGACGGGAATTGAGATTTCCTCGAACCTAAACTTTCAACTGATCGGGTTATGCGATCACGATCCTCTTTTTGATGGTGTTCCAACATAAGAGAGAAGTTTCTGGAGTCGAGAGTGATTGGAGTGGGGACACAAACCCAAGGAGACCGATATCTCGGCTGTATTCTCAAGACATGATGACAGCACTGCGAATGTGCACGTGTCACGGGGCATCGAGCTATCCCCAGGTTCTACTTCTAGCTGAGCAAGGTGATGGAGTAGCCCCAATTGTGTTCTCGGGACGCCTCGTGTACACTGATGGTGACCGCAATTAGATTTAAAACGTTAGATGTCCGGACAAGCTTTCCACATCCCGCGCAAAGAAAAGTAAAGCATTTTTTCACGTTAAAAAACACTGACCGCAATCAGCAGTCGGGAGTTAAGTGAGAGTCGGGTCCCGCCAAATTAGATCACAGCAATGCAGTCACTGCTATTTGGTGGCAGAAACAGGTAAGAGGGTGGTACCCACCCACCAAGACTCCTAAGCAGAGGAGTTCCATCACCTAATAAAATACCACCTAGCATCCAGATCCACCTGTCAGCTTTGGACATAATGGAAGGAGGAAAAGGCGTGGCCTTTTAGGCTTATTGGTGACTTCCATCTAGTTAAAGCCAATCTTACCAGTCTTGAGCACAGCTGTGAATTAAAAAGACTGTTAAAGAAAGAAGGCAAAACAATGGAAAGCTACGTCAAAGACGCTAGACGTGTTACCGTCGCGCTCGCACATATGCGTAGACCGCCATCAACAGCTATTGCAAATCTCTTAGCCATAACTAAACGTAGTAATTATATGCTCTATGGCCTATACAATAAGGTTGGTTCTTTTTTGCGTGTTCTTTGATTTGTCTTGACGTTGTTATTCCTTTTTAAACTAGAGTTTTAACGACATTCCGTAATAGGGTTTCGCTTGTTCAGCTCTTGGTTAAATAGCTATTTAGGTTAAATGAGTGTGTGTAGTTTTTTTTGTAAAATGGCGAAATCGTATAAGCTCCGTCAAAATACATAAATATTATGTTTAGTATTAGAAAGATACACATTTCTTATATTAAACATAATAAATATATGTAATTTTTTATTTCCTTTCTCTCTCTAATACTTAGAAATATTCAGAGCTTCTCATTGTCCGTTCTCTTGTCTTGTAGTTATGTAATAGTACTGACTCTCTTATCTTTAAAACAGAAACATTACAGTGATGTACTGCAAGTCATATACCTAGGTCGGTGTAGTGCCTAGACAGTCCCCTAGGCAAGAAAGGAGTCCTACCGTCTATTAAAAGTTGAATAACCACATCTCATTCCTTTTCCCTCACGGTCATTAGATTCTGGAAGGAAATCTCTCTTGACACTAAACAAAAGCTCCCAACAAGTTTGTTTTCTGCCGACTTCCAAAAAGACGACGGTACTCAATTCGACTGTATGTTTTATGTGTGTTACCTCATAACTTTTTACTGGGTGAACCGATTTCGATGATTCTTCTTTTATTTGAAAGCTGCTACTTCTCGTGTGGCCCCATATGAATTTGATCAAGGTTAGACCAATAGTTTTTGAGTTATTCTTAATAACTTATATTGTAGTCGGCAGTACAAAATTTTTAATTTTAAATTATTAAAAATAAATTTCGTGAACACATTAAAAATCGTTGATAGTTTTGAATTGACGCAATTTCTGATTCTATCATAATATATTTTTCACATTTAATCTTATATAGATAGTTGTTATATATTTATATAGTATTTAAATATTGGAGACACTCAGTTATAAAAACTTACTCTGTGGAAAACATCCACATTGTATTGTGTAGTGGCAGCGTAAGAATATCTTCTATCCACTACATTTACATCCCACGAGTGTCGTAAAAGGCGACTGAGGAAAACGGAAACAAGAAATAGAAAGCAGTATAGAACAGTGGTCCGCAAGAGCTTTAATGTGGTCCACGAAATATTTAAATACTTGCTGTGCCCCGTGGTGTCACCCGCGTATATTACGCGTTTGAGCCGCGCGACGTGACATGACAACTCGCTCATTTAGTTCAATCATTTTAGCTAAAAAATTGGGAAAATTAATGGAGTATTTTTATCTCGGTATACGTTAAACAGCAAAGTTAAATTTTATACACTCTCCGCCCCCTCCCGGATGGGCGTCACCCCCCATCCCCCAGTATGTGCCCGAAAAGGCGGGTATTTTTTCAGTTTTAAAGAGAACTGTATACGGTACATGAAAAGTGTAGAGATACGAAACGTTCCTTGATTAATTTTCTATCAACCTTTTATACATACGAAAGCGATATCGTTTATAGTTTTCTGCCACAAAATATGATTTTTTTTATCTTTGATCGATTTTTTTTTGCTCAAAGTTTAGGTTTATTATAATTTCTAACTTTACCGCCAAAATATGTATGACTAAAGTAAAGAATAGAATATGCTCTTTAAAAAGAGGTACAAATTATTTCTTAACTCTTTCATTATGATAAAACCATTTATATCAGTAAGAATTAATACTACGATACGAATGTAACCAACTTTTGTTTCAACCGGCGATCTAATTAAATTTTAAAACACAAAAGCAAATTGTGATTTAACTATGATAGTTAGGTTTATTCCCTCGCAGACTTTTTTGCAAGTAATAATGAGTGCTTTAATCGTGTAGTACATAATTTATATGTATCATCAATAGATTTCTGAGCGCACGCCAAATAATGAATTTTAAGGCAAAATTTTGCTACTTTGGGTTACATTTTTGCAATTTTCTTAACGATCTCTAATTTTTTTGAAAATAAGTTATGGCTTATGTTACTTCGTAATAATTTAGCTTTCTATTGGTGAAAAAATGATTAAAATCGGTCCAGTAGTTTAGTATAGTCCAGTAGTAGGAGCCTATTCAATTCAAACAAACAAAAAAATCTTTTCTCTTTATAATATTAGTATAGATGTTACCTACCCAATCGTTTTAAATAACACATTTATTATTTTCTCGTCATACGGGTAGTTCAACACTGCGCGTCACGTCGCTATCAACATCGTAATTTTTTACCAAACGTAGGATTTCTTTTACAATAACTACACAAATCATACTGAGAATGAATGCTTCTTTTCAGTTTAAAGCATAATTATGTTAAAAGTTGGGATTAAAATTTATTGTTAGATCAACATAGCTTTTTTCCTTCACTTTGTGGTCCCTGCTAACGACAAAGAAATCAAAGTGATCCCTGGTCAAAAAAAGATTGGGACACCCTGTTCTAGATAATCTACACGTGTAAATAAAATGGTCGTGTCTGTTTGTATTATATAAAATAAATATAAAATAACTACCTTATATTGACCAATAACCAATACCAACCAATAACCATTTTTAAATTTTTTGTCTGAAATTTTGTACGGGCTTAAGTGAGTGTAGACTGTAGGAAAAGTGGAATTTCATCTTAGTCCTCAGCTTACTGGCTTCATCTTAGGATTTTACAGTCACGATCAGTTTTTGTATACGTCAGTTCAACTGATCAGTTTAACTGACCGTGCGCTCGGAAAAGTCCGTGAGTTGCCGTTAGTTAAAAATTTTAACTTAAGATTTCACAATCACGGTCAGTTTTGGATATACGTCAGTTCAATTGATCAGTTTAACTGACCGTGTGTGTCACTTAAACTGATCAGTGTTATATAGTTAAAACTTTACAAAATAAGTAATATTTTGTCATATTACAATTAAAATTCGCGGTGTTTGGTTAATTATGCACATGCATAGCACTTACAAATATGAACATGTCAAAAGTACATTTAGTGATAGAGTGACAGTAAACCTGTCAGAGTTCTTAGCAAAGAGTATTATAGTACGGTTCTTAGCTTCCATATCTTCAAAGAAATCATGATACTAAAAATTCAAATTTTGAGCATTAAAACCTACTTCTAGGAATTTAGTAATTAGGATCAACAATTTCGATGAAAATTATAAGATAAAAATGAAAAGAAACCCAGTTTTTCACGCTTTAAAAACTAAGGAAAGACTCATCATGACACATTATTTTTTTTACTATCTTAAGTAACAGCTACGTATCTGACAGCACAGTATAGGCCGACCTCAAGTAGTGTGATAACTTAATGAGGACTGACTCAATGAACAGGATGGCAAATGGATGGTGATATCAAAGAATGTCGATAACCCAAAACCGTGTTTTATGGCAACCTATGGGATAGACTTATGTTAATTGTGGGTTACTCTAAAATTCAAGCAACATTCATAAAACGAAGTTTTGTTAATTAAAAAAAAAAAACAAAAGATAGCGCTATCTCTTGTTTTTTTTTGTATAATGATGAAATGTCTTATATAAAATATATTTTAACAAAAAGAAAGTATCCCAACACATGTGTATTGACGCAGGTTTGAAGAAGACTTACGAACGATATCACCATGGGCTACAAGTTCTTGGAGCCACACTGATCTGCCACGGTTAAAGCAAGGCCGTGTCGCTGCTCAGGTAATAACGTACTTTCATATATGAGCTGTGAATTTTATGGATTTCAAATGTTCTTTTATCAATACTGTATGGTATTATATTTAATAATTAATTATTTAAGATCGTATGGTATGTCAAAGCAAAGAAGCGTTTATTTTATATTTTGTATATTAGATATCTTTGTTTTATACAACAAGGTCGGGGAAAAAGTTTCTGCGTATTTTATACAGGGTTATTTTGCAATAACCGACCAAATTTGCAGGAAGGTTCAAAATAAGTAATATAAGCAACGGGTGACAAGAAAAATTAAAAAAAAAATCTCAAGCATTTTGTCCTTTTTATCTTTTAAATTCAAAATGCGTGGTAATGCATCGTTTTAACTTATTTTATTGCACACGCACACATTCGTAAGGGTCGATCGGAAGCAAAAACGTTGCTGCCCATAAATTACATTTAATTTAGGTTAATTTCAAATAAAAGTAGAAGCCTTATTTACTCGTATTTTTAAAAACTGCAATAACGATATATCATTATTAATATATTTGGACTTATGTTTAAAATTTGGCTACTCTTTGAAAAATAACCCTTATACAAATTCAAGACATTTTTTTTCAGTTTATTTATATTTATATATATATATGTGCCATTTTTTAACTTGTTTCCATCTTGTAGGTAGAGACATAATCCTGTTGCTGTAGAAATCTTGGGGTTATTGATTAAAAAAATGCGACAAGTAGTTTTGACAGTCCTCTCTTGATGTTAACCTAACACTACCCAAAGAATTCTGAAGAGACCGAAACAGGTGAAAATCTGAGAGTGCAAGGTCAGGACTATATGTGGATGCATTAACACTAATTCATAAACAAGCTCTCTCAATTTTTGCTGAGTGGCCAAAGATGTGTGTGGTTGTTAACCGTCGCTAGAGGGTGTGTATCATAATGAAGAGCCACTCCTTTTCTGTTGATCAATTCTAGCCGTATTTTCTCAATTTCTTGCTGGAGTCTCATTGGTTGTTGGCAGTAGAGATCTGCATCGATACGTTTGCTCGGCGGTAAAAGCTCGTAGTAAACGATGCCCTTCCAATCCACATATACACACAGCATCACCTTATTGCGTGTTAATCCGGGTTTCCCTCTGGAGATTGACTACCCTTTGACCATGATCTTTATCGCACTTTCTTGTCGTAGGTAATCCACTTTTTATCGCTAGTGATCAATCTTTTCAAAAGTGGTTCGGTTTCATTACGTTTCAATAGAGCAACGCAAATGAGTATACGATTCATTAGGTTCCTTTCAGTGAGATTTTGTGGTACCCAATATATATTTGTATGTACCCAAATATTTAGCTTTTTTGTATTGCTGCGTTTAATTTACTTATTTTAATTCCCGACGTTTCGGGTGCTTTACAGCAAGTCATGGTCACACACTGAGATGTTTGAAGTGCTGATGTCATAGTTAGCCCGGCTACCTTCAATTTTTGAATGTTAATTTTTGATTCAATATACGCAGAATGAGCTTACAGTATCTTGAAGTCTTGCAGTGGTATGCTTGGGTTTGGATTTTATTTTGTTATTTATAGGATTTTAAGCAGATGGCAGCACCCATCCATCTTCTCTATTGAAATTAGGATGTTTTTTATGGTTCCATACCTCAAAAGGAAAAAACGAAACCCTTATATGATCACTTTGTTGTCCGTCTGTCTGTCTGTCTGTCAAGACCCTTTTTCTCAGGAACGCGTGGAGGTATCAAGCTGAAATTCATATCAAATACTCAAGTCTACTGTTCCTTAGAGCTGTGAAAAAACAAACTTCTAAGCCAACGCAATCAAAAGATACAGTCGTTTATGTCGCAAGGGAATCAAAACCTACATGGTATTTTCCGTGAACTCAGAATCTTAAAATTTGGTACGAAGCAACGTATTATAGCACATATAAAGGAAAAATAAATAAAAATATATAATAAATATATCCCCCATGAAAGTAACGAAGAGACAGCCCCCAGTCCCCGGCGGCCCCACTATTCCTAGCTACGATGGCGACCATGGTAACGGCGGGGCAGAGGGTGCTAAGAATCTCCGGTGGAGATTCGGTTTCCACCTACGACGACTCGACTTGGCAACTTATAACGCACGCACCCTGAGGACTGACGAGAAGATCCTGGGGCTGGAAGAAGAGATAGAAAAGTTGCGCTGGAATGTCATAGGATTATCCGAAGTCCGAAGAGAGGGGGAGGACACGATAATCCTCGAATCCGGCAACTTGCTCTATCACCGGGAGGGCGACCATCTGTCCCAAGGAGGTGTCGGATTTATCGTCCACAAGTCTCTCGTTAACAACGTTATAAAGATTGAGAGGGTGTCGACGAGGGTTGCGTACCTTATACTCAGAATCTCCAAACGGTATTCGCTGAAGGTCATATAGGTTTACGCACCAACCTCGGCACACCCCGATGAGGAGGTGGAGGAAATATATGAGGATATCTCTAGAGCCATGCATTTGTCCAAATCCCACTATACGGTGTTAATGGGAGACTTCAATGCAAAACTAGGCACGAGAGAAAACGGTGAGCTGAAAGTAGGGAAATTTGGAATAGGGCAATGGAACCCAAGGGGTCAACAGCTGGCCGACTTCATGGAGAAGAAGGGACTCTTCATGATGAACTCTTTCTTCCAGAAGCGGCCCCACAGGAAGTGGACCTGGTCGAGGCCCGACGGTTCGACATAAAATGAGATTGACTTCATTATGACGACCAGACGATGTGAGAACTGTTCAGTGATGTCTCCGTGATCGCGAGTGTGAAAACTGGTAGCGATCACCGAATGGTTAGAGGCACACTGAACCTAAACGTTAAGTTGGAGAGGTCTCGTCTGATGAAGTCAACGCTCCGTCCCCCTCGTGCTCTGTTCCAAAGTCCCGAAACCTTTCAGCTCAAGCTACAAAACCGTTTTCAGTGCCTAGTAGATTGTAATGCAGTAGGTGATTTGAATTACAAGCTCGTGGAAACTGTCCATGTGGTCGGAGCTAAGTTCTGCAAGACCCGCCGCAGAAGAACACAAAAACTCTCCGATCACACTCTTAATCCCATGGCTGTTAGACGCGATATGAAGCTGCAGTCTTCAGTAGATTTGACAGCATACAGGCAACTGAACAGACAGATCGCCAAATGCATGCGGCGGGACTTACGCAACTTTAATACTGCTCGTATTAAAGAAGAATAAAAGCGAAACCTGGGTATGCCAGAAGAAGCATAAAAGTAAGTTGAATGCAGTGGAGATGCGATATCTTCGTAAAATGTGCGGCGTTACCATGGCCGACCGAAAGCGAAACGAAGAGATTCGCAATATGGCAGGTTTGAAAGATGACCTTATCACAAAAATTGATAAGGGCGTGCTTCGGTGGTTTGGGCACGTTGAGCGAATGAGTGAAGACCGAATGGTGAAGAAAATATATAGCGCGAAAGTTAATATTAAAAGGTGTCGAGGTAGACCGAGACTAACTTTCGAAGACCATGTGAGCAAATTGCTCGAAGAGGGTAGGGTCAAAAGTACTCGGATACCTAGACGTGCATGCATGAAGAAGATAATGAATCTGAAAGAAGCGAAAGAGGTTTGTAAGGATCGTGACACTTGGCGATCTGTTCTCTCTGGCTACCCCGTCAGGGATTGTGCGTGAAGATAAGTTAAGTTAAGTTAAGTATTAAAGAAGCGACCAGGGCTCCAAAGTCTTTGCTAGAGATCTGTCTGCCAGAAAGAGCCAACTGTCGAAGCTGAAGACCGAGTGTGGCAGCGTCGTTTACGGGACACCTGAGATTTTGAGTGAGATTGAGAGGTACTATGGGCAGCTGTACACATCATCGTTGGAGCCACACGTAAGTGTGAGTAACGATCCAAGAGCTAGTCTTATCCGACACTATTCCGATGATATCCCGGACGTCAGTCTGAGCGAGATTAGAATGGCTCTCCAGCACCTTAAAAACGGCAAGGCCCCAGGTGAGGATGGAATTACAGCGGAGCTTCTGAAAGCGAGTGGAAAACCGGTACTTGAAGTCCTTCAGAAGCTCTTTAATTCCGTCCTCCATGGTGGCACTACACCGGAGGCGTGGAGCAGAAGTGCGGTGGTCTTGTTCTTCAAGAAAAGTGACAACGCTCTCTTGAAGAACTACAGACCGATTTCTCTTCTGAGCCGCGTCTACGTGCTGTTTTCGAGAGTCATTACGAATCGTCTCGCACGCAGACTCGACGACTTCCAGCCTCCCGAACAAGCCGGTTTCCGAAAAGGGTTAAGCACCATAGACCACATACATACCCTTCGGCAAATTGTACAGAAGTCCGAGGAGTACAATTTGCCACGGTATTTGTCTGGCGTATGTGGACTATGAGAAAGCCTTTGATTCCGTCGAAATTTGGGCGGTGCTGCAGTCCCTTCAGCGATGCCAAGTTGATTGTCGGTATATCAAAGTGCTGAAGTGCTTGTACAGTAGAGCTACAATGGCTATCCGAGTACAGAACCAGAGTACGAAACCTATCCAATTGCAAAGAGGTGTAAGACAGGGTGACGTGATATCCCCGAAACTCTTAACCGCTGCATTGGAAGACGTTTTTAAGCTTCTGGACTGGAAAAAATACGGTATCAACATCAATGGCGAGTACATCACTCACCTTCGATTTGCCGACGATATAGTCCTTATGCCAGAATCGCTGGAGGACCTAAGCACAATGCTCAATGACCTCAATAGTGTTTCTTAACGGATAGGTCTTCAGATGAACATGGACAAAACAAAGATCATGTTTAATGTCCATGTCACACCTATGCCGGTAGATGTTGGGGACACTAAGCTCGAAGTTGTTGACGAGTATGTTTACCTAGGACAAATCGTCCGACTAGGTAAGTCCAACTTCGACCGAGAGGTCAATCGGCGGATTCAACTCGATTGGGCAGCGTTCGGGAAATTACGGCACATCTTCTCGTCAGGTATACCTCAAACCTTGAAAACAAGACTGTACAACCAGTGCGTGTTGCCAGG